GTAAATATTAATCATTTTTTGTTTCAAATTTTTCATTAAAAAATTAACATTTTTTTATGAAAAATTTATGTAAAAATTAAATAGTTTATTTACATTAAAGTTTTTTTTTTTTTTTTTCTATTAAAAAATATAAGAGAGAGAAGTGATAATTTAGGATTCTTTTTGAAAAATGTGATTTTATTTTAACCATAAAATAATAATGCTTCTTAAATAATTTCATTTTTAAATAAAGAAGTTTTGAGTCCATTATTTTTTAATTTATTAAAAAAGCATTTATTTTTATTGTTAAAAAAAGATTTCTTATTTTTATTTATAATGATTATTGAAAATGAATGTTTAATGTATTTTAAATAAATAATATAAATATTTATATACAAAATCTATTTATTAAATATCTAAAAAGAATAAAAAAATATTTCTACAAATAATTAAATATATAATTACATAATAATAATATTTATATATACATTAATAATTAATAAATATTAAATTAATTTAAATCTAAATTTAATAATAATAATTAAAATAAACATGATAGCCTAACCAAACAATCAAGGTTGGAAAAAATGGGAAATAATACATCCATTAATCAATTAATCTCTCTTAGAATGTAATTTCGACACCCCTACAGATATTCAAGCTTATGTTTTAAGTTGTTATAAACATTATAACGATTTTTTAGTTGCATCATAGACAGTAAAAAAAAAAAAAGTACAATAACACAACAAATAAAAAATATATCAAAAAAGGGTTCAGGAAAAACACTAAGTTTTGGTATACCAATAATGAGTGAAATATTATTTGATAAAGAAGACGAGAAAGACAAAAAGCCTTAAAATTATATAAAATGTCTTATATTGGCTCCTACTAGAGAACTTGTATTATAAATCGAAAACCATTTAAATTAAATAAATAAGCATTCGAAAAATTTGATTCGAGTCGGAAGTATTGTTGGAGGTATTTCTAAGGAAAAATAAAGGAGAATCTTAAGCTATATTCCTGATATTTTAATTGCTACACCAGGCCGGTTATGGGATATGATAGAGAATTATGAACACGATTGTTTAAAAAGATTAAATTAAATTAAATATTTTGTAATTGATGAAGCCGATAGAATGGTTGAGCTAGGACATTTTAAAGAATTAGATAATATTATTGATTAAATATATAGTAGAGGGGAAGTGAGTAAAAATAAAGAAGATTTGAAAAAAATAGAAGAGTTTATTTAATAAAAGTAGACGATTAAAAATGGATTAATTAGTAAAGTTAATGTAAAAAAATTCGAGGATTTGGGAGAAGATTAAATTATTTCTATTAAAGGAGATGATGCTAAAAAATTACTCTAGAAATTTACATAAAATAACGAAGATTAAGTTTAATCGGAATAAAATACTTAAGATTAAGACGATTAGCAAGAAGAATCAGCAAATTAAGAATTAGATGAAGAAGAAGTAGAAGAAAAATTAGATGAAGAAGAAGAAAATTTAGATGAGAATGAAGAAGAAGAAAATATGGTAGAAGGAGAAGAGAATATAGAAGAAGAAGAAAATATAGATGAAAAAGAAGAAAATTTAGGCGAAGGAGAAGAAAATACAGATGAAAAAGAAGAAAATTTAGATGAAAAAGAAGAAGAAAATTTAGATGAAAAAGAAGAAGAAAATTTAGATGAAGAAGAAGAGGAAATAGACACAAATGATATATTAAGAAAGAAAATAAGAAACAAAAAGAACTCTAAAATGAAGGTATTCTTAGTAAGTGCTACATTAACTAAATAATTTGCCGGCAACAAGCATAAAATAAAAGAAATATCAAAAAAAGAAAAGAAGAAATAAAAAAAGATAAATAAAAAAAAAACAAGAGAAGAAAAAAAAGAAGAATACGAAAATAAATTAATCCCTAAAATGTAAGCATTAATGATTAGAATTAAATTTTCCGGAAAACCGAAAATCGTAGATTTGACCTCAACAGTTTTAATACCTAAAAATCTCAAAGAATTTAAAACTGTTTGTATAGAAGAAGATAAGCCAATCTATTTATACGATTATATCAAAAAAAGATGTGGTGAAAGTTTTATTATATTCAATAATTCGATTTCTTATTCGAAAAAAATTCTACATTTATTGACTATTCTAGGCTTTAAATGCTTAGGTTTACATTCAGAAATGTAACAGAGATAACGTTTAAAAAAACTTGATTAATTTAAATCTAAATAATACTAAATTCTAGTCTGTACTGATATAGCAGCTAGAGGATTAGATATTCCCACCGTTTAAAACGTTATTAATTATTAAATTCCATTAGATATAGATACTTTTATACATAGAAGTGGAAGAACTGCCAGAATAGGTAAGGTAGGTACTTGTTATTCATTGGTAGGACCTAAAGACGGCTAAAGATATTAAAAATTAATTACTTAATTGTAAAAAGACTAAGGGGTTTAGAATATAGAAATGACACATACTGAAAGGGAAAAAATAAGTAATTTTATTTTATAAAAAAAAAAAAAAGTAATATAAAAAATAGAATCATTAATTAATAGTGGACTTGAATTAGAAAAAAGTCAATTTGATTTAAAAAAGAAATAAATGGAAAAAGCCTGGTTTAAAAAAAATGCAAAAATGGCTGAAATAGAAGTAGATAAAGAAGTTGAAGTTGAATTAAAATAAATTGAAAATGAGATTTAATAAAAGAAAAAAATACAAATTAAAGACAATTAAAATTTTTAAAAAGTAAAAAAAGGTGTTATTAATATATCTAATAAAAGAAGAAATAATATATTTTTAGATCCTACAGAAATCTAAAAATATGCTTAATAAATGTAAAGTTAATAAAAATATTTAGATAAGAAAAAAAGAAAACTTAATTGAATTTATTGTATTTTAAAAAGAAAAAGTATTTATATATTTTTATTTTTGTAAATTTTATATAAAAATATTTATATAATTAATTATTTTATAGTTTTTTTTTTTAGTTTTTTTTACAAAAGAATTAATATATAAATAAATACCTAATATATATATATATATGCTTTTATATATAAAATATACAATTATATTTTTTTATAAAAATATTGTAAAAACAATCATTTTCTTTTCTCAGCATTTATTGCGTTTCTCCATGATTAAGAAAATTCATCATATTTATTCATAAACTCATCATGATAATCAGGCTTAAAATTATTAGAATTAATTTAATTTTATTAAATTTAAAATAAATTTATTTTTAATTTATCTTTCAATTATTAATTTAACTTCGAACCTATTTGACCAAAGTCGTTTTATTAAATTGAAATATCACTATCTAAATCACTTGCTTTTATTTTATTATTTTAAATAATATATATATATATATATATGTGTCATTTTTAATATTTTTTATTGTTTTATTTATATATATATATATACTTTTTAATTGTGAATCTTCTTTATTTGTTTCTTCTTTTATTGTTTATTATTAAATTTCTTTGTTAATATCATTTTATTATATATTTATATATTTTTAAGATTTCTAAAATATATCTTCTTCATATTATTATTGTTATAAATTCATTTAATTACATAAAATGTAACTATTATTATTTAATTTATAATTATAATCAATTTAATTATCAAAAAACAATGAATTATTTAACGAATATTATTTAATTTCATTTATAACATCATTTTATTTATTATTTTATTATGAAAATTAATCCAAATAGTTAAAATTTTCAATATTTATTCCTTTTTACTATAATTTATCAAATAAAAAGTCAATTTTTTCTTACTTTTAAGTTTAATAATTAATCATCTATTGTTATTAAATTAAGTTATTTTTAAGATTTTAAACTTCATTAAATAGTTAATAAGTATCATATTACATATTTTAATTCTAATTATTTTATTTAATTTTATAATTTTCTTATTCTAAAATCTCATATTTCATTTAAAGTATGTTTTTTTCCTTTTTTTCCAATTCTATTTATCTTAAAAACTGACATTTTATTTATTATATTTCATTTTTTTATTAATTATTTTATTCTAATAAATTTTATAAAGGAACTTACAAAACAGAAATTAAATTTTCCAAAAAACAACTTCTTTAATATTATATTTAAAAAACATTAAATTTCCCTGTACTATTGTTATTAATATTTTTATTTATTTATTACGTATTATTAGTCTTTTTCTACATATCTAGAATACACTATATTAAATTCCCAAAATACTCATAAGCATTATTTTATATTTTATTTTATTAGTTTTTTTTTATAAAATCTTCTAAAATTTCATTATATGATTTAAATATATTAAGTGATTCCTATTTTATATTAAAATTAATTTTTCTATTATTTTGTAATAGATAATAATTTTAATTTTTCTTTTTTAGTTTAAAATTAATTATTTTTACTTTTCATATATTATTATTTGTAAATTACTTTAGGAGATTACTAAGTTGCAAAATCATTGCTTAAAATATTAGTTGTTAAATTAGAAAGATTAAATTAATCATCTATTTTTATTTTTTAGTTTAATTTTAATAAATACATTTAAACAAAAAATATATTATTTATATATATATATATATCATAATACCTTTAAAAGGACTTATTTAAGTTTTAAAAATACATTTTTAACTTTATTAATTATTATTACTTTTATTCATTGATAATTTTTATTTAGATTAAATTTAATGAATACTCGAGGAAGATATTCCAAGCTCATTTTTATTATTATTAATACTTTAATTAATTTTAAGTCTTTAGTTTTCATTCATACTTCTACTATTTTTTTTAGGATTTTATTAAATTAAATTATTCCTTTTTTAGAATATGCTTTAATTTAAGTTTTTTTTATATATTTAATCGCTTAAATTATTTATATTAGAATTATATTTTTTTCGACTTTTATTAATTCTTTCTTTTAAAGATTAAATAAACTACTAAACACTTTTCTAACTTATGTTATTTATTTCTGAATAAGTTCTATTATAATGTTAACCTTATGTACTTAATTATTGTCTTATCCTTTTTATTGGTGAATTATCTTAATGTGTATGAGAAGTAAAATTATTTTCTTTTGGATTAAATCCGATAGGAGATTAACTTGTTTTATATTAAACTATTTAATTTAATTTATATTACCCTGAATAAGAATATCTAGGCTTTTTTTATTATTAATTTATCGAAAATTGTTAATTAATACTGTTGTTATTGATATGTTTACTATTTTAACTTTTAATATAATCTAAGTTATTATATTACAAATTATTACTTTCACTTATTTAATTTTTATTTAATTTATTTTTTGTATGTAATAATTAACTTATTAGTTAATTAGCTTTTCGTTAAATTTTAATATTTTCCATTAATAATGTTTTTTTTTTTTAACTTTTTATTTTAAATTTTTTTTTTTTTTTTTTAAGTTTTTAATTATTTTTTATTATTTTTTATTTTAAAAAAATTAAAAGTATTAGTTAATTTTTTAAGTAAATTTAATTAAATTTCTTTTATTTTATTA